ATCTAAAAACATGGAGAAGGTTTTACATGGTTACATGGAGAAAAAATATATATTTAAAAAAATGCAAAAGTTACCAACCAAACAATTTTCTTCTTATATTTAATATAAATACTTACTCATTGAATATCACTTCGTTGTAATCCAAAATATATTATTTTTAGTTTAATAAATAGCTTTTTGAGTTATTAATATAAAATTTAAATTACATTTCACTTACTCAAATACATTTTTTAATGACTTTCAATAAGATATGATGGTTAAATTTAAACATAATATTATAAAACAAAATGAAAAATGTCACAACTTTCATTCAAAATATTACTTAAAATATTATAATATTATTTAACATATTTACATGTTTTTGTGTAAATTTGAATGTGCTTGCATGATATTTTTTACCTTATATGCACCAGCCTATTATTAGATTAAATAAATAAATTTGGTATGCATTGCAAAAAACGCAATATATCAAAACGGATAAATAAAATATATGCGGAAGAAAAACATAAATGATAAAACTTGAATACTTCATTTTAGTTTAATTTTAAGTAAATAAAATATTATTAACTGTACCAAATAAAACATAATATTTCAATGATGAGTTTTTATAGTTCATATTTTTGAATCTTTGTACTTTCATAAGCTTAAAAAGATAATATTCTGTTATCAATTCGAATTTAATTTGATTCATTTAGGTTAGTTAAAAATATTCATATATAAAAAAAAACTTTAAAAATATTTAATACTTTTTCTACTCTTTGAATTAAAAAATGAAATTAAGTTTTAGTTTCATTTTTCAACTTCATTTAATATCATTACTTTATTCGTTACAAGACTAAATAACCTGATCTATGCGCAATGACTAAAGCTAAATTAATGTTACTCGCAAAAATAATTCGTTAACTAATCTTAAAATCTGATTGAACAAAAACTGTAAAAACTTAAACTTTTTTTGTTTATAAATTAAATAATATTATCATTATATGTACACATTTATCTAGTATTTATATATTGTTTGAATACGAGACAAACGAGAGTAGTTTCGACCGAATTCCAAAAATGCTTGGTGGCTTTTAACTTGAGTATTTATTTAAAAAATAGATGAATCCTCCTTAAAAAAATCAATACTAATTTATCAATTAAACAATCAACACTAATTAATAAATTGAATCACTCTGAATACCTCTGGCTTTTTTTATCTCTGTAAATGTTGCTTCACTGTCTATTAAGTAGACTAGTCGAAAAGCAAGTATGTCAGTTGCGCAGGATTTTCATTACATATCAATTCAATGATCGAACAAAAGCAATTTTTATAATAAAATCAGCTGAAATCAGCAGCAATCAACTCTAATTATTAAATTGAATATTTTTCTATGTATTTTAACTAGTTCATACTAGTTTCTCTTTTCACATCAAGGAAAACTTATCTGAGTTACTTATAAATTTATTTAGGAAATCAACTTTTTTTTATTCACTTCAGATATACATTATTTATTTTCGAGGCCTCCGTGTAACAATGTCAATAGTTGCTAGTTTCACATGTATTTGACATCAAAGCGATGTCTTTTCTCTTTAAGGGTATGTAATGTTTTTCGCAATTCCTTCACGCACAAACTCGAAAAGATTAAAAAAGAAAATCATTAAAACTAATTTGTAAGAAATCTTCAAACAATCCTATCTAATCTTGCGTTTAAAGGGTGTGGCTATCACGCAAAGGTGAATATGCCCGTATAGATTATTTTGGCTACTTTTGTTTCTGTTCCAATTATTTATTTATTCTTCCGTGTCTATGGGATAAGCGTTTCCCCTACCCTTGGCATTGAACCTGAGGCTGCTGACCTGCGGTCAAGGGAGGAGCATCGAGATATGATTCAGAGAGTGCATAAATGCATAAGTTTGGCGATAAGCGTAGTGTGGGTAATATTTTATGCCCCAAACAGGGCGCTCGCTTATCATCTGCTTAACATTCACGAAGTCTTTAAAGGCGTTTTGACGGAAATTATATTTGTCACGATAGTTATACGTACTATTTTACACTTCCTAGTTTTGACACTAGCTCAAATTATTGGTTTGAAAAAAATAGGATACAATATTAAGTAGATAGTAAAGCTCTCGTTGATTGTTTTCATTTGCACAAATAGAGTAAAATAAATTAATATGTATACTAAGTACTTATTTATTTTTACCAAAAGTTTAATATCGTTAAGAAGAAGAACATTCATTGATTTGTTAATCTTTTACTTATTTAATCATTTATTTTTAGATAGTATTTTGATAGCAAAACATGTATCGCTTGAATAAATATTTAAAATATTATAATATGGGTAATATAATTTGTTTTCAGTACCAAAGGTAATTTAAATCACGATTATTTTTTGTATGAGATTTTCATACATGCTTAAATTAAATATTTTTAACAGTCTAAAACTAACTAACTTTCCTCCCTCTTTCTCTCAATTATTTTAATATTCAAAATAATGCTAATTTTTGGTTTTATGGTATTAATTTTTAGTGATGTATAAAGGCTTTAACATTTTGTTAAAAATAAACAATACTTAAAAGTAAAGTATATAACAAAGATTTGTTATCCAAATACCAATATTCTTATAACCAAAGACTTTTAATCCAGTTTTCAATTTTTTGAATTTTCAAAATGCCTCATGCTAGTAGTAATTACATGGCTTTTAACCATGATAGGTAAAAAAAATTTATCCTACGCCAAAGTTCTGAGCAATAGATAAATTTGAACATGAAGAAGGAAACTAGATTACTAACTTAAAATTTTTCACATAAATTTCTTATACCTAATGATTGCCTTATTATCTTTAAATGAAAACTTCTTTTCACGCACTTTCATGGCATATTACTTTACAAGAAAGAGATTATATATTTTTTCAAATATCCTTTTGTTTAAAATCAAAAATCGAAGCATATATTTTTAATGATCTAAAACATTTTATTTAAAAAATAATTACCCCCACTATTTTATTCCATCATTTGCTCAAAATAAGCTTTGAAAAATAACAGATTGTAAATCATTGTAATAATTTCTTATTGATTTATAATATATAATTTATGAAACTTTCATATCTATTTTCCATACCTATGTATTTATAAGTATCTGATTATCTTTAATAAGCATTTGAAAAAATAGATGAATGAGAATGCATTTTTAAATATCTTTTTAAGTTACAAAAAAAAAGCTTAAATCATGAAGCAAATTCAAGCAGATGAAAAAGAAAGTAAATTTTTTTAATTTCATATTCAAAAAATTTTTAACAGTAAATATATTTCTGAAGCCATATAATCATATTTAATTTTTCCACAAATATGTTAACCTGAAATATTTCCTTACTAAACTGCTACTCCAAGAAACAAATTATATCTACTTTCAAATTACTTCCTTTTGCGTCTTAAAATAAAAAACATAACTTTATTATAATTTACTTAGAACTCACTGAAACTGTAAATCGTTATTAACTTCATTGTGACAATTATATTAAATTTTTACCCTTCTTTCTTAAAGAACCATAATTGAAATTCCATTACTTTTACAACTATATTATCTAACAAGAGTAAAAAATTTGGTATCTGATTAAAAAAAATTTAATTAGAAATGATAAAAAATCATTCATGCTTAGTCATTTAATAGAAACTGTAATTTAATACATTAAAAAACTTCGATAATAACAATAACATTCTTATACTATTATGATAATTTCATCCAAATTTATGTTTGAAAATGTATTCAATTTTAAGGAAAAAATTGCGTTACAATTGGGTATAAAGTTCAAAACTGAAATATATACTTCACACGCATCTCCAGATTATTTAGATTTCATGAGAAAAAGTGGATAAAAGAAATATTATAAAATGAAGTAGATTCTTGAAATAAATTTCATAAAATTCATGAAATAAAGAGGATATAAAATATTATAAAGCCCTAAATCTAAAAAATTTTAAAAAACACTTAAAATAAACGTTTTGAGTAGCTCTTTTGCTTTCAAATCAGGTTTGAAAAATTTTGAGATTTCCTAACTTTTCCAGAAGAAAATATATATATATATATAAATAAATATACGTATTCAGACATGAAGCCTTAAGTTGATTTTCCATTTGATTTAAAAATATTTAATTAAAAATCTGTGTGTAGCAAATTTTATAAAGACCTTCATAAGCATTTATACTCTTATAAGTAATTTAAGTCAATTTGTTAATTTCTTTTTATTATTCATAGAAATAAAATTTGTTCATGACAGCACATTTTCCATACATATGGAAGGATTCATACGTCATTCATCATCATATTTTTAACCGTATTTTCTAACTTTTAAACGAGAGTTAAAAAAAAAAATCTTTCACATTGAAAAAATTAAATATTCTCCAATTAAAATAGAAACGCTTTCCAAATGCATTTATTTTTACTTAATGTATACTTTGTGTACTGTTTTATTGTCAAATTTTGTCTTTGTGTACTGTTTGTGTGCTGTTTTTTTTATGTCAAAAATTTTCACGAGGTAATAAATATTGTCAATTTGCAGAATGACAATTAATACAATTTCAAATTGTCTTTGTTAAAAGATTAGAGTAATAAATTAATCACTGCAAGATTTGATTAACAAAACCACAAGAATTACACTAATAATTGGCTTAAAAATATAAATTAATAGAATTATATTTAATACAAAGCTTTCAAAGATCAAGAGATATTCTTCAACAAACATATGAGAAATGATATTACCGTTTTAAAACCTTTCAGACTTTTTTAAAAATATTTTTAGAGCAAATAAAATTTTGAGAAAGGTATTTATCACAAGTTACAACTCATTTTTTTAATGTATTGTTTAAAAATAACGTTCAATCTTTAAAGACATCTGGCGAATGGTTTTATTTAGGCATAGAGGACATTACACTGTAAAATGCATGAACAATTTTATCTTCAGTTAAAAATGGTTCAATTAGGATATGAGGCAATTTTTAAAAAGGAAATATTTCCATACCTTCTGCACCATTTGCACAGGCTACAGCATTTCCATTTACAGCTACTGTTCCATCTTGTCCTTCACCGTCCACCATCACTTTGGGAGGAGCAGCCCCATCCCCTCCTTCAGGGGCTTCCAACGCCCCCGTTGCCCCGCTGGTCTTCGAATTGGCGCAACCCATGGCACAAGATTTCTAAAGAAAATGTGGGAATTCACGAAATGTGGCAAGTTGAGAAAAAAGCTAAAAATCAAATTCCAGAAATCCTAGTTATTCCTGGGTTTTTCCTTGAAATCCCAAATAAAAAAGGGGAAAAAACAGAGCCGGTCCTTTTTACCTCGTTAAACGGGCGGATGCTGTGAGCGGAATGATGCCGGCTTTTCTGGATGAGGAAGAAACAGAGTCCCTGACTCATTGGGAAGAGAGATCAATCAATGAAACATCAGTAGCGCCATCTACTGGTGATTGAAGCAACCATTGGATGACAAAAGAGTGACTCATTCAGAGGGAGTCAGTGGAGTTTTTGTAGGTAGGGGTGGGAAGGGAGAGAGGATTAATGAAATGACGTTCGGTTTTGCTCTACTGGGTAAATGCAGTGATGTGGGCTCCCGTGTTCAATATAAATACCATAGAGAGAATAATGATGAGTGGAAAAGGGTTAAATAATTCGCACGCTTAGCTTTTATAAATTGGAGGTGTACTTTTGATAAATGATATCTTTTACGAACGGTGTGATTAAGGAGTTCATGGTTGACACTTTTATGGTTACATTAGTTTAAAGATTCATGTAATGACGCAATGGAAATATTTATTTCTTGTTGAAGAGTTTAGTTAGAATCAGTCAATAATTGCTACGTTACATTTTGTAGATTGAATTTCGACAGTCAAATGCATAAATTTTTAAAACACATAAGGTCTTGAAAGTTACTTAAAATATATTTATTTAACATAGCGCTCAAACCAAACTGTATTTGGCAGCTACTTACTACAATTTTATAGCCAATCACAAAGCACATACTTTGTTTTTAATGGAGGTTATTCAAATAAAATGAATAAAATGTTTTGTGATATTATCGTATTTGGGCAATCTGTGATATATTTTACATAAATAATACGCTAATGAATAAAATGATTCTGATATCCTTATTTAAAAAATAATGATAAGTAATATTCTATGCCATAATACCACTTTTAAATTATGGTAACATTAAGTTAACATCGTTTTTTCTACACAAATTTAAAACTTTATCAACAGCAATTGTTTGACTAGTTTTAAAATCAATTTATGTACACAGGAAAATATCTTTAGCAATGAAAAGTTCTGAGTTTTAAAATAATAAAAATAGCATAGTCTTAATTAAGTATTTAAAAATTGAGTTTTAATCATGAAGGTTAATTTCAGTTATAAATAATATCTTGCTAATGATAAGAATCTATTTACTAGCATAATTAGTAATAACTAACGGATGTTATAAAGATATCAAAATTATAACATGGCGATAGGTTGTAAAAGGATGATTTATCCGTTTCTATCATCCATTTCAAAAGCTGCTTATAATTAAATATATTTAGAAAGAGCTTATCGCAATATTTCATATATTAATATTAAATACCATCAAATCAACTGGAAAACTGCATTAATTTGAGAGTAAAAGAAAATTTCGCACACAAAGGAAAACCTCAACAAAAAAAAACTATTATGATTTGAAACCATAATAATTATAAAAAAACGTTTTTTCTTTCTAACCTTTTCTTGAATACTAATGCGAATCTATGAAATTTTAATTACGTCAAACAATTAGAACCTTTAATCCCTTTAATATATATACACTTATAATGTATGCATAAAATATACGTACATATGTATATATGTGTACGCATGTATATGTACATGCATGTGAAAACAGTGTAGATATGTACGTTTGTGAACAGTAAATATATACATTTTAAGCAAATACTTGTGTATGTACAATGTATATGTCTGTGTTTGTGAAAGCAGGTATATGTAATGTACTTTTTCTTATTTGTACCAACATACATGCACTGCGTGTACAATGTATATCTCATGCATAAAATATATTTATATCCTATATAGGCATATCCCATACATGCAAGTACAATGTACGAATGCCCTATGCATACTTAGGCAATTTATTTATGTACAATGTATGTATGCACACGTGCACATTATATGCATATCCAATTTATGCATGTACATATACATGATATATGTATTTTTACTGTATGTATCTACATGTGCATAATATATTTGTGTGCAGTTGTATGTACATTCCGCATATTTTGCATATGCACATAGATACATTCAACATGCATATGTTGCACATATGTTCATACATAAATTGGATATGCATATATTGCATAAATGTACATACAAATAGTGTACAAATGTTCATACATATTAAGTACATATATATATACATATATTGGACATAAATCTTTCGCACAAGTTTGTACATGTGTGCATACATGTTCGTCCAATGTCTGTTATATGTCCAATGTAATTATGTGCAATGAAAGTATGCACATATAGTTAATGCATGTATGTCCAATGTATTTAAGTCCATATATACAATATATTCATGCACACTGCATGAATGTATGTATATAGACGTGTACATACACTGAAGAGCCAAAAAAACTGGTATACCTGCTTAATATCGTGTAGGGCCCCTGCGAGCACGCAGAAGTGCCGCAACACGACGTGGCATGGATTCGATCAATGTGTGAAGTAGTGCTGGAGATAATTGACACCATGAATCCTGCAGGGCTGTCCATAAACCAGTGGGAGTAAGAGGGGGTGGGGATATCTTCTGAACATCACGTTGCAAGGCATCCCAAATATGTTCAATAATGTTCATGTCTGGGAGTGGATCCAAGAGCACTCTTCTGAATTTAGACACTTCCGCTGGCCACCAAAATCCCCAGACATGAACATTATTGAACATATTTGGGATGCCTTGCAACGTGATGTTCAGAAGATATCCCCACCCTCTCTTACTCCCACTGGTTTATGGACAGCCCTGCAGGATTCATGGTCTCAATTATCTCCAGCACTACTTCACACATTGATCGAATCCATGCCATGTCGTGTTGCGGCACTTCTGCGTGCTCGCAGGGGCCCTACACGATATTAGGCAGGTATACCAGTTTTTTTGGCTCTTCAGTGTATATACATTACATATATACATATGGACATACATAGTATGTATGTACAAATACATTAAATATATAAAGATATATTGCATAAATGTATTATATATGTATGTCTAAATATATGTACAATATAATAAATAAAATGTATGCTAAGTCACTGACAGAAAGGGCTCAAGTAATTTAAAGACATAATCAAACGATATTTAAATTTAGTTGTCAGCTTTAATTGCTCTATATCATATTAAAACAATTTGAATAAAAAGTAATTTTCAAGCATTTGATATGAAACGTTTGAGGCTACAAATTCATTTTTTTATAGCATAATGCATAGTTCATAAAAATTCATTGATGACAAAAGAACGTTTACTTTTATATGTGGAAACTATATTTAAAAATTTATGACAAGATTATAATTTGCTTTCGAAAACAGAAAGAAATATTGAGTTTTATATGTTTTAGAACGAATTTTAAAACGAACTTAAATAACTTTACTGTTATAAAGTTTTTTCTAAACATAAGAACTTTTAAAACAATAATGTTACTCTTGAGTAAGTTAAAGTAACATAAAAATAAATATTCTCTTTTACCTTAGTTTCGTAGTTAAATTGCATTTATATAAAATGATAAAGAACATGATGTTTTTCATCTCATGGTTCGCGGAAATGCATTTCCTTGCCAGCTAAATAATTTGACATACCTGCACAATGTGTGTGCCTACATACATTGTAAATAAGTATATTTCTTGTACATGCTTGCATTTATGCGTAACATGTAATTATGTACATTTATACGTAGCATGTACGTCCGTGCATTGCCAGCACATGTAATAATTTTTTGTACATCCATACATTGCATATACAGAGAATGAAAAAATGTACTACCCTGAATAACTTTTGATCTTATGATCGGATCTGCACATTCTAGGACTCCATTTCAAGACTCCATCTTAATAGTTCAAAGGGTCGACCTCAAATATGCTAATTAATAAGTACAAACAATATTTTAAGTTATGAAATCAGACACAAAAACGCACTTTCTCCAAATAAACAAACCTTTTTTTTTCTTTTTTTTTTTCTTTTTTTTGACGGATTTGGATTTCTGACTACAGAAATATAGGGAGTAGCCGTAATCTAGGAAATATGGCCCTTATAGTTTTGTCAGAAAAGCACTCCTAAGTTTGGACCCCATTTATGTTAATTTTTCTTCTAGCGTATTTCACTGTATCTCGAGAACTTTTTGATCGAATTGAAAAATTTTTGCACACAATTTTAAAATTCGTTTATCCGGAGATTCACGCAAAAATAACTTTCGGTAAATATGTATGATTTTTTATTATTTTATTTAATAGCGGTCGAAAAAAATTTTGAATTGTAAGGTATACAATTTTTCACATCTTTTTAAAGTATCTTATTTTACAAAATACAAAATTTGAACTAAGTCGGTTGAAAAGTTTTAGAGAAATTTAATTTTAAAAAAGTCAGATATTTAAAATTTGATTTCTCCGAACTATTCGACCGATTTTTCTCAAATTCATCACTGAATAAATTAACTGTGAATTAAAATACTAGTTATGGTATTTCAATTAAAAAAATAGTTTATTTTTTTAATTAATATATACTCTAAAGACTGATCACGGAAAACTTGGTAAGAATAAAAACAAATCTATCGATAGAACATGGTATTCAGTCTCCATGCGGTTATACTATATGAGGTTCTTTTTTTTTTTTTTTTTTTTTTTTTTTTTTTTTTTTTTTTTTAAAGAAAGAAAGAGAGAGAGAGATTGTGACATTATACATTTAATTTACAATCTGCGGAATTTCAGATAAGGGTATAAACTTCAATGGGGAGAACTTTAAGGAAAGAAAAAGAAATTACTAGACGCTTAAGCGGCATTGGTACTGATTACCATCAATCTATATTTAATAAAGCAAAGTGATTTTGATTTACTTCATTTATAATCAATATTCCAGATTCACGATTTAAACTTAACGGTGTGAATTTGTTATGATGCTTACAATTTCTAAATTAATTTCAACGCATATCATTTAAATTTTCAAAAGTACATAAACATTTATAAAAGATATTGAAAAGCATATAAAATTGCAGAATTTTTATAGGAGGGAAAATTCGTCTATCTTAATTCCTTTGAAAATATTATAATAAGAAAATATCTCAAGTAAAAAATTGTTTTGAAAAAATCATAAATATTTTTTTTAATAATTTTTAACCTTTTGACAGAGATTACTACTTTAGAAA